GCGCGGAGGCACTCCCGCCGAGGGTTCGGATCCCACATACAGACCGGTTCCCGCTCACTGGCTGAGCGAGGTGCAGGCGCAGCGCCGAGGGTTGCGATCCTGTTGCCGGTCCCGGTACGGTATGGGCGTGACACTGAGGATTGCGATCTGTTGCCGGACACAAAAAAAGACAAAAAGGAAAAAAAAAGAGTTTCTGAGCTAAATTATTTTGCTAACCCTTAACAAAAGCAAAAAAATGAAATAAAACCTCCATCCTTCCATCTCTGTGAAAATCAGCATTTTGAAGATCTAATGAAACTTCAGTTAAACCTTTGAGGACAATGGGATCACTGACCTATGATTTCATGCAGCTAACCAATTTCTTAAAAATCTGCTCAAAAGAAATGAAAACATTGAAAAGTAAATGTAAATTCCACAGAGCTGAATAGCAGCAAAAAAGCACAAAAAATAATTCTTAATGCCAAGAACATATACAAAAGACCATCATTACAACTCAAATTATCCCTGTTGCTTTGCTCAGGATTTCAATTATAAAAATAACCAAACCAAGACAAAGTCAATTACTAAATCCCTTTGAGTTTTTTTAAGAAAGCACACAGACATGTCACACCTTCCTCACTAAAGCATGGTCCCCACCCGTAGACCCGGGGCAACCAGCTAGGGACCAGCCCCCCCCCACAACCAGGCACACCACCAGCGCCTCAGGGCCCGCCCAGGCACCCAAGGCATTGAGCTGGGGACCAGACCCCCTCCAGAACCAGGCACAACACCAGCTCCAAGGAGCATGCCAAAAACATCACCCCCGTGTGGGTGGCCCACCACAGCCACCACAGTAACCACAGCTGCCGCGAAAGTGGCTAGACATCACAACTACCACGCAGAGGGTCCACCAGCCACTGGAGTGCACTGACACAAGGAGAGTCACCAGCAGAGACTAAAGAAAAGAAGAGGATGTCTCTCTCCACAAAGCCCATTCCAGAGTGACAGAAGAAGCATCTACTCTATGATAATATTTGGAGACCTGAGCACAGCTTTCAGCACTGGACAGATCATCTAGGCAACAAATCAACAGAATAACCATTACTCTTTCAGAGGGAGAGAAGAAATCTAGGATTATCAGAGGTGGGAAGGGGAAGGGAGAGGAGGATAGGGAGAGATTGGACAAGGGGCATAAAGAATAAATACAATTTGTAACAATATATATATACTAGTAATATTGATTTGATCAACATATGTCAACACTGAATCCCCAAAATATGTATAATCAGTTATGATCCAATAAATAAATAAATAAATAAATAAAAAAGAAACTTTTTAATTTCCATCAATCTTATTTCCATTTCCTGTTTAAAGAGCCTACAGAACAGCTGGCTGGTTCTTCTTTAATTTCTGGTATTCAACACTGAATCCCCAAAATATGTATAATCAACTATGATTCAATAAAAATAAATAAAAAATAAAATAAATTGTGGCCCTAGTGAATATCTTGTCACACTGTGTATCTAGGGAGTTAACAAATAGAAGGCAAAGAAGAACTACCACATGCAGAGACAGAGAGCTTTTTCAAAATATTTTATCCTCAAAAGTAAACCCAGGTGCCATAATTAGAAATAAAATCACAGAATTTTTTTATATTATAGGGAAAAGGAGTTCTTGGTTTTAGGTGGTTGTTTTTTGTTTTTTTTTTTTTTCATTTTTGGTAAGGCAAGATAGAGCTTTAGATAACCATTTGTTACAAACCTGAATTGTTTTTTCCTTTAAACTCAAGAATAAAATAAAAATTGTATTCCTATTATGTATTTATTCACCTGGAACTGAATTCTATGTTTAGAGTATTATATTTTAAATCATAGTATATGTAAATAAAGATAAATTTACTTTATTTAATTTACTTTTTAAAATAGCTTTTCATTTTCAAAGGCTGGTCAGTCAGCTCAGTTGGTTAGAGAGTGCAGTGTTGTAACACCAAGGTCAAGGGTTTGGACCTCGTTACCAGCTAGCCACCAAAAAACAAACACTTCATTTTGAAATAATTATAGACGCATAAGAAGTTACAAAAATAGTACAGATATCCCATGTACCCATCACTCAGCTTCCGGTCTTTGTATTTAAGCATTTACATTTTGGTTTTAAAAGGGTTCGTTTTTGATAGTTTATAAAAAACTGTCCAAAAACCTAACAGACCTGGTAAGTGCATATTTTTGGAAGAGACTCTAAGGAAACATACTACCAAATTCAAATTCAAGATATTACCTTAGAAAACTCTTTTGATGTTTAGTTTTTTCTATTTTTACAGACTTCTGAAAATTTTAACTTAGATCTGATTGAAGTAAGCTTCTACATTCCTTCATGTTAATATAACTTGCAATATTAAATGAATAGAAATTACAAATGAAAATAAAAATGCTTGCTTTTGTAAAATCTCCAATCCTCTAGTTCCCCACAAAATAATACCAACACACCTAAGTTGATATTTGATTTGTTTGTTAATGCCAACCTTTTGTGGGGTCAAAAAACAGTTTTGAAGGAATAACCATCCTCAATGTTCTATACAGTTTCAGTAGTGTTATTTAAATAATCAGTCCTATGGATGATTGATGAGTTTGTTGATGAAGGATCTTCATCCTGTAAGAATTACCTGACCAATTTGTTTGCTCCTATAGTACCAACAAAAATATACACAAGCAGATTCCCATTTATCACGTTATCCTCCTCCATCATCTCCAAAAGACAGTGGCTCACAGAATTTTATTTAAGACTGAACAAATTTGTTTGCTCCTATAGTACCAACAAAAATATACACAAGCAGATTCCCATTTATCACATTATCCTCCTCCATCATCTCCAAAAGACAGTGGCTCACAGAATTTTATTTAAGACTGAACAATTTATCACAGCAGTCTCAAAGTTTATCTAAAACATATCCTGACAGGCTGATCACAAGCCCTTTGTCCAGTCTGAAAAATTGTTCCTCTCCTCCTATATACGTGGCTGGTCCCTAAAGTATTTTGTGCTGAGTTATAGCTTCCTATCATCGCATTTGCTTACACAAAAAAAGCTCAACTAAGTAACGCAACATATAAATCCTCACTTACCTAAATCACATTTTGCATCTTAGGACAGTTAGTCTGGAAGCATCATGGACTATACATTATAATGTAAGGTTAAAAGCAGTTCAAAGCAGGAATGACCGAAAAGCAAATAAATCATACTACAGTCATACTCTCTACTAAAAAAGACAAATACTTGTTATTCTAAAATGACCTCTTTTGATTGAATTTCAATACATGAAACATTACAGTATACTTCTTGGTTGAAGTCTGTGAATTATAAGAACATGATCTCTCACATTCATATAAAACTTTAAATACATTTTCTTCATAATGGACATTAGTAGTTTTACTGAAAGAAAAACTTACATAACCCAAGTATTATCTTTTGACCTTGCCTATGGAGAAACTTTTGGAGTTAAGTTTACCATTCAATTTTAGAATCTGTTAGTGTTATCACTGATATAGTTCTTTCTCCAACAATTTTTTCTATTTTTTCAAAAACCAATTATAATTGTCCTGTTTTACATGTGTTTTACAATTGTAAGCCACTTCAAATGCTCTGTGGAAGGCTTACTATAAATCATCATTGAAAATGACTAACCCTGACTAAAGCATAAACAGATGTCTGATTAATGTGCTAACCACATTTCTCCAATATGTATCAATCCCAGAGGACAATAAAGCTTCATGATCATGATTCTCAATATAAAATATTCATACAGATTTCAGATTGCTGAAATCTAATAACCTGCCTTTGAAGATTAACAACACACACACGCACACGTGCGCACACACACACACACGCACACCCTGCTGTAGAAGTAATGTGAAACTCCTTAGGTACTTTCCTTAAATGCATCCAAACAGATGAACAAGATTTTGAAGACTGTGCGCACACACACACACGCACACCCTGCTGTGAAACTCCTTAGGTACTTTCCTTAAATGCATCCAAACAGATGAACAAGATTTTGAAGACTATCTTTGTTTCTCATTTAGTTAAAATTTTCAAGAAAAAACATTTACAATGACTTAAAGACTCCTGTATAAATAGCCACCTAAATACAGAACAAATTGGGAGGATGCAGGTCAAACACAATTGAGCCCCACTCAGCTCAAAGTAGACAAGTCTCCTGACCACAAAGCTTGTTTTCTCAACATATGGGTTTCTGCTAGACTTGATAAGATTTGCTGAGCACCATAGTAATCTTTTAAGACACTAATCAAAAACATGGTCCTACATTTTAAAAAGCCCAGAAGTGGCTTTAGGACAACAGAAGCACCTCAACCACTAAAATAAGCAAGTTTCTATTTTAAGTAAAATTACCACACAGCAAATCCTTTAACAATTCAGCAACCAATAAATAGAAAATATTCTTAAAAATCTGCTATTTTTGATTATTCCTTTGGATCCTTCAACTGTGGTTAAAATATATGGAAAATAATTGGTTGTTAGAAAGCTTCTGACTGCACAATATGCTTCTTATGAAAGAATACTGGCCTGAGCCAAGCATGGAGAACTTGGACCAGATGCACATTAGGTATTTCTATTACCCTGGCCACAGCAAGGGCTCCTCCTGAGTAGTGTCTAACAATTGGGCAAGTTTCAATAAGATTTTACAGCCTAGCATAATAATGATGACCAATAACGATATCCTGGTATCAATACAAGAAAGAGACAACTAGTGTTAAAGATGAACTACAAATACACAGGTCTAAAGTTGTCACATTCACCCAGTAAACTAAAAGAGCCCTTGCTAACCTATATTGAACACATCAGCAAATACCAATGATATACTGAAGTGCATGTTAGCAGATGAATATTATATGTAACCACCTTTAATATTTATATATGTGGTACTAAACCTCCAAAAGATTAGACTTATGAGAACATAATTAAAGAACACATTCCTCATTGCTTTTTAAAGGTAAATACAAGCTTTTGTATTGAATTTATAGTTTTCCTTGTTCTTTCTAAAATAGGCATTGGATTTCTAAACAGAAGAGAAAAAAGCTTCAGCCAAAGAGCTACATATTAGGTATTTAGTTTCGTCTAAGAAAATTAAGTTAATAAATTGAATAAATTAACCTGAATAAATTAAGAGTGCACATTTAGAACAGAATTGTAGCTTTTGGTCAGCAACACGTGAACCAAAGGCAAAAATCTGCCAAGATTAAGGCAGGATTTTTTTTATATACAGTACAATATGTTTTCTTCCCCTCACCCACTAAGTTCATCTAGCATTCACTTTGATGTTACTTAAAATGCACTGCCAAGCTAGAATACAAGCTTCCTAATTAAAAAGAAAAAATAGATGTCATATAAAGTTCTTTTTGTTTTGGAGTCTTTTTTATACCTATTAATGGTATTTTCTTTTTGCCTTCACACACTTGGTGTAAGAGACTACTGCAACAATCATATGGCTCTTGCCACAAAGCTTGACGACTGTCAGAGTGATAACCGTTGTACAGAATTACTTTCTTCTTCTGCTGGAGTCAGTTTAAGTGTTGGCAGTTTCCGAGGAGGAAGCTGAGGGCTTTGGCGAAGATTGTCATCCATCTGTAGAAAGTACAAAAGATACATCTGACTAATGCTGTGGCACCACTTATGTGGATTGTGGTCTCCCTGTCCAAAATATAGCCTAGAAGAGTACAGAACCATATGTTTCCGGGACTGCTAGAAAAACCTTTTTCTTACAAATAATCTCTCAGGAATTCTAAATGTCATACCTCAAATACCAGCTGACTCAGTATCTGTAATAAGTGATGTGGCTCACACTTGATACCTTCACAAAATCATACTAATTTCACAAAATGAATATTCCACTGAACTCAACCATAGCATGACTTAGTTTAAGAAGTCTTCTAATGATAAGTGTAAAATTTACACTTAAGTTCCACAGTTTACAATGTATGGTCAGATGTAATACTCATTTGATCTTCTCAACATGCTGTGAAGAAAAGGCAGACATGGTCCTTCCCTACTTTATTGATTAGCAAAACAAGGCTCAGAAATTTAAGTGATTTGCTCCAGGTCACAAAGCTGGCATTAGAGCTGAAACTTGAACCTGGTCTTATTCCAACACTACTGTTCTTTCAACTATACCTCTTTGCTTTAATGAAATGATCTGTACTCCACTCAAAATGACCAGCTCTTTTAAGCTTTTAATATGTAGACCAAAGGAAGTTAGAAAAAGAGGCAGAAAGAAGGATAAATTGTTTAGACATAATCCGGAGGTCTTCCAAACACTGGATCAGTTCTAAGCCTGCCTTAGAGAAACAAATTAATATGGAGCATATTGAGCATATTAAGAAAATGCTTCAAAATTTCAGACTTACTCTAACGAGAAGCCCATTAACATCCCTAGAAACACTAGGATACAGGTTATTTAGAACTGAATCAGACCTTAGAAAGCTATCTTTAACCAGAGTACCCTAAAAACAAAGTGCAAGATTCAGGTCCTGTTGCTGAGTTCACTATCAATTTAACTTAAATGAAAGACTTGAAAGCAGCTCACATCCAAAACACAAAACCAACAGAAAACAGCATATCACCCACTTGAAAGACAGGCTTTTTTAGAGTTCTGCATATGTGCAGAATATTCAAAACTCTCCTTTATCTTCTCAAGATGCTATTATAAAGTATAGACAAAATGTTTCAGCAGAGGTATACAGGATTTGTAGGAAAGGAGAGAAGATTAATTTTTAATTTTCCAACGGAAAAAAGTATTACCAGTGACTATTAAAATCAATTGTGTTAAGATGCTTTATTTTTTCTTGCAAGAACTAAGTTCCTCAAACACAGCTCTTTCTTTTTTCAAGCTCCAAATTTTCTGTCCAAATTGTGAACAGTGGTAGCCAATAGCATTTGTAGCTCCACCGTCTTGTAGCAAACAGCAAACCCCATGCTCCCCACTGAAGAGCAGGTATGAATGAGTTGGTGGGTACAGGGCAGGGAATGCCTGATAGAAATGGGTCAGGAAACTTTCATATACTGATGATGACAGAAATGTACAAAAAGGTGATAGGGCCTCTTGGTTTCACCTTCTGCACATGTAGGTATTTCCCAGTTCCCTTCCCGTATCTCTCAGGAATTTGCCACACAAAGAAAATGGAAACTATATTGGATAGCGTTCATCTAGCAGACAAGTGCTTTCCTTTATTCACACTTAACGTATTTCCTCCCGTGTAGGTATTTCCCAGTTCCCTTCCCGTATCTCTCAGGAATTTGCCACACAAAGAAAATGGAAACTATACTGGATAGCGTTCATCTAGCAGACAAGTGCTTTCCTTTATTCACACTTAACGTATTTCCTCCCATGAAACTTACTGGGTTGAGTTTAGAATTGAGACAGACTAGGCTTTAACTCAGTTTACCAAAACTTCAATAATAATGAACTCTTACAATTTTACTACCCTGCTACTTCTCAAATTTTAACAACATATAAAATACTGCAAAAAGAAACAGAAGGTCATCCCAGATAACACCATTTGTAAACCTGACTACTAGTACTACCAGTAATGGACACACAGTCTCACTCATGTGCTAGGCAGCTGATTGATGGGAAAATAACTAACTGTAAAGTTCATGCTAGTGTTCCACTTTTAGGGTTCAAATTCCCAGTCTAAGTTTTGCCAGCTGAATGACCTTGGGCAGGTGACATAAGCTACTCTCAAAGCTTCAGTGTCCTCATCTGTAAAATGGGGATGATAATACTGAAGTACCTGAACACATAGAGCTATTGTAATATATTAAATGAGAAAATCCACATAAAGCTCATATAATACAGTGCCTCTTACTCAGACCTCAAAACTGCTAGCCACTGTTATTAGGCCTTGTTGCCCCATCAGTTTGTAAAAGAATGAAGTATTATTCATTTGCATAAGAAAAAGCAAGTTTGTCAGACACCTGGGGAAAAATGTGCAAACCTCTTATATTTTTCCAATTAGAGTCGCCCTTGAAATTTCCATTGTTGGTTTTCTCCGCTGCCCAGTTCCTCAATATCTCTTACAAAATGAACACCTCCAAAGTGGCAAATATCTACACTGGTGAAAAACTATAGCCTACATTTAGAACAGAGAGGAACAGGAAGGAGAAAAAACAAAACAGTTCACATGGAAGAAAGAAAAAGACATCATGGTGCTATTAATGAGAAAGGAGTAAGCACAGGTGCTTACAATCTCAAGAAATGTTAACCTCAGAGATAGGCACACAAACAAGAAGTGTTTTTGTTTTGTTTTTTTTAAAGCCAATCTTTTGGGTCTCCTACCTTGAAAAGTACAAATTGTGTGGTAAAAGTAAACCCAAAACCATTATCCAATGTTTCCAAAGCAGTCAGGCCACTACTGGCTTCAAAACATTCTATTATATAAAACTTTAGTAAAAGTAGATTTAAACCATCCAATGTTTCCAAAGCAGGCCACTACTGGCTTCAAAACATTCTATTATATAAAACTTTAGTAAAAGTAGATTTAAACAGCTTCCCGAAAAGTAAACTCTTTACAAAACTAAAAGGGTGAAGTTAATGCATGACCCAAATTACAATATTAGCTGTCGAAAATACTAAACTACTATAAAATAATGATTGAAGTAAACTTGACCTTTTCAATCAAGTTGGATTCCTTATTTACAAGTTGTGTGAGTTTCTGCAGATTTGCATCTACTGTTTCTTGTCCAGCTGGAGACATGCCTAAGAAGCCAGGACAGAAATCAGAGAAAGACAGGAAATTTTGAAAGCCTTTAAAGCTGTTTAGATTGAAAGAATTTTTAGTCTTCCCATCCTCCCAAGTGCCCCACCCTTCAAAAAAAAAGGCAAAGAGAAAAAAAATATTCTGGGTTCAAAGGAGAGTTAAGAAAGGGTAAAGTTCCAAAACCTAATCCTGAACAAAAGGAGTAAAATTTGTGTCCTAAGTAGACACTGTTAGCCAAGTATTATATAGCTAGCCACAGAAATTAGTAAAGAGCACAGCAGTCCTCATTTCTTTCTCAAATTTAAGCTGTACCTTTCCCCCACCCAAATAGGTCTTTGGTCACAACTATCTGGATAGCTAAGGCAGTGACTCTCAAACAGCTACCCACCAGGCATCCAAAGTATTTATTTGAAAAATACAAATTCCCGGGATCTATCCCTAAGAGAGTCTAATTTAGTAAGTCGTATACACCCCAAGACTTTTTATCTGTCATGTAGTTAAGTTTGCTGCACTGCTTGAAAGTAACAAGGCTGAACATTACTTAACTTTATGATTCCCAAACTACTAACTCCTCTCTATATACAAAACATATAACCCACCAGAAAAAATAAACTGCCCACCTGAGCCAACAATATTTATAACTTCTGTTTCTTTAAAGGACAATTTCAGCCAACTCACCTAATACAAATTTAGTATCCCAATCACTTAAGTACAAGGCCCCACACTCTCAGAGAATCAGATCCTAAGTGACAGATGCCCTCTGCTACATCTCTAGTCGGATGTAATCAGTTTTCAAGTAATAGAATCATGAGAGTGTACCTCACCAAAATCAATCTGCTGCTGATTTCTGTTCATGCAAGAAAATGCTAGGAGCAGCAGGTAAGAATCATTTAAAGTAATTGCCTATTTGCACTGGGATGAATACTATTTTTCAGCAGAGACTTGTTTCCTGTGGTTTCATTTTTTAAAAGAAAATGACCCACTTCAAAGGGACAACACTTAAAGAGCAAGAAGCAAGAAACGTATAAAATCCAGAGGAACAGATAAAAGGCAAGTATCTGTTTCTCTTTTAGAAGAGAAAGATAGAAGAAAAAGATATTTGCCTTTTATCTGTTCCTCTGTTTAAATATGAATTAATACATGGGAATAAAAATAAAGTTAGAAAAATGCAACTTCTTGTAGTGCTACAAACCAGTAAAGACAATACACAAACTTTTTTTTATTAAAATAAATAATAAATTTTGCTTATGTATCCTTAGAAGACTATGCAAATACTGTATGCAAATAAACATGAGCTGAAGAAGAGCCAGCTTACCTCCAATACTAAGCCTAAAATAACTGTTTAGGATGTCATCACAAAAGCGACACAGGTTGGAGAGCTGTTTCAGATGTTCTTGTAACTGAACTTTAGGAAACCGTACTTTATAAAGAGGAGCAAGAAAACCAAAAACATAGGCATCCAAGGTAGAAGGCCTAGAAATAAATTAAGAATTTTTTTAAAGCACATAAGAAAATATTAATTTGGGATTGTGTTTAAAGTTTATTTTCCAAACACATTTGAAAAATGTACTTGAGAAAAGTACTTGAACAGTATACAATACAGTCTTTAAAGAGGTTTACTACCCATTTTAGTTTATGAAAATGATGCAACTAGGGTTTTACTCTTCTTAAGTCATTTTTAAAAACTACTCTATTTTATTTAGAACAAAACGAAGTTGTAAATTACAAATTCATTTTTACTCACTGGAAGGAGGAGGGTGGGAACAGTCTTAGATGTTTTAATTCACATATGCAGACGATAAGTCAATGTTAGATTATCACTGATAGAAAAAGGTTCCTGTAATAAAAATCCATTAAATCCTACTTCTTAAGTGAAAAACTCATCTTTGGGGGAGACAAGGGAGCTTGCTTTAAATAACTGCTCACTGAATATGTGTGTGCAAAGTATCAAAATGATTTTTAAGGGAATGTACTCACGTATCTCCAAAGAAAAACTGAGATGTTCCCAATCTGTGTGACAGTAGATTTAGGCACTCCTTGGCATCTCTGTATATCTAATAAGGATGAAATTACATCTCAAATGTAGGAAAGATGTTCTAAAATCACTTTTGAGGCAGGCATCTCTAGGTAATCTCATCTCTACTATTTCTCTTGTCTCTCCTGTGGGGAGCCTTTGCTTGAACAGTAATCCAGACCATACCTGTGCTTCCACTTCTTGGAGGTGGTAGAGGGGAGGCTCTCCTCTGGTCAAGAGAATCCTATTCAGTGCTCCCTTAGACATTCTTCCAGGCAGGATCAAACTCAAGGGAAAAGGAATTTGTGAAGCAAACCATGGCTTTGTCACAGTAAAGTAATTATCACTCTCAACCCAGAAAGTGTGAAGCTACAAAGGGAGAGGGAAAAAATAAACAACAAAACACTACAAGGATGTTCTTTTACTAAAAGAAACATCAGCCGATCAATGTGAGAGTTTTTCATAAATATCTTTGTATAAAGTGAATTCATGCAGGTTTTTTTTAGAATGACTCAGGATTAAACAAGATTATTTTAAACGTGTGAGTTTTGTTGACTGCTATATCCCAAGCACTCAGAACAAGGCCTGGCACATAGCAAGCACACAATAAATATTTGTTGAATGAATGAATTACAGTTCACCCAGTTTTCTATACATGGAGCAACAAGTTCCATCGCCCATAAAAAAGATTTTTATTTCCAAAATGACATCTTTAATTCACTCTGTTTCATATATCAGTTGAATGTCTAACTGAACCCAATTTCACAGGAACGTGAAAGAATCAAGATTAATATTAAAAAAGATTTTTATTTCCAAAATGACATCTTTAATTCACTCTGTTTCACATATCAGTTGAATGTCTAACTGAACCCAATTTCACAGGAACGTGAAAGAATCAAGATTAATACATAAGTGAAATTTTCTCTCTCAAGCCTTTTTCATTGTTTTTCTTCTAAACAGACTAAGTCCATTTTCAACTAGGTCACTAAAATACTGTAATATTCAGGAATGCTCACCACTGCAGGGAGAAGCTTCTCTTCAAGGAGAGCAATGTAAGCCAGAGTATCTGCCCCTTGTTTTGCTGACAGTTCATAATCAGCATTATATTTCTATTAAAAAACATAAAACCAAAGACCCTCAGAAGTCAAAGAGCATTCCAAATACTGTGAATCTCAACAAATTAGGATTCCTATTCTTTGTCACAAATAGCAAACATGATATTAAAAGGGGAAAAGAGAAATATAAACCCAATGAAAACTGCTTAATGCACATAATGTTCTTAGCACAGCATCACGCACACAGGCCAATGTTAGTCATGATTTTTTTAAAAATTAACTATATTATTTCAATGCTTGTTAATGACCTAGATCAATCCATGACACATAGTACAAACTTAATAAATAAAAATGATTATTAGTTTAACAAGGAAAAAGTTCCAATTAATTTCATTTTCCCCCATGAAAAAAGAAAAGAAAAAACAACAAAAAACTCCCAATTTAAAAAAATTCCAGGGCTGGCCAGTTAGCTCAGTTGGTTAGAGAACAACAGCCTTATAACATCAAGGTCACAGGTTTGTATCCCCATACCAGCTAGCTGCCAAAAAAAAAAAAAAAAAAAAAAAAAAAAATTAAATTTCCAAATTTTATTGATACAGATTTTTTTCTAAAAAGTATTGGCAAAACCAATTATAACTTTTGCATTTAAACAAATCTTTACATGTTTAAACACTTCAGATACATTATATAAATCTTTATTGTTCAAACCTTTTGGATATATTATTCCCATAAAACATTCAACTGCTATAAATGTTTTTAAAAAATAAGTTACTAGTTGGTGAGAACTCAGCACAAAATGTGTAGCAACTATGTGACCAAATCGACAGTCCTATTAATAAGTGTATTAGTGAAAATGGCTAACTTGAATCTATTTATATCTAAATTTCAATAAAATCCAAGCAACGTGCATGAAAACATAGATTGACTATGCCTCACCATGACTTTCAAATCACAGTAAAACACGTGCTTTACAGCAGTGATTCCCAAGTCTTTTTTTATCAAACTCCAGGTATCTCCAATTGTCCAATGAGTTGGCAAAAAAGAATTCTTAAAAAAAAAAAAAAAAAAAAAAGAAGAAGGAGGAGGAGGAGGAGGAAAAAACCCCAAACCTTACAATGTATTTTTTAGAAAAGTAACATGCAGGGATCAACAATTTACTTCTTCAAAGGAACCACCCACCTGTTTTCTTAAAAAGTTTAGTATTTTCGCCGGCTGAGAAACAATGTTGTCTTCAGTTGTCAAAATGGGTATATCACCTATAATCAAAAAACAGTTCACATACGAGGAAACACTGAGATTTCCTCAAGAGATTCCAATACCCTAAAAACTATGCCAATTGCACATTTGTAAGGGGAATAAATGAATAAGCTCATCTTCGTTTTCTGAAATTTCATAAAGACAGTTCTAGAGAACATTTTCATTTTTCAAAATTTCCCCTGATTTGGCTTGCACTTTGAGGTATTACTCAGAATGATCAAACTACAAGCAACACACAGCCAAGGTCATACATAGTAACAACTAAAATCCCAAGGTGCTCTATGGCTATGTGGCTCAAAGCTTTAAATGGAAGAAAAAAACTTAAAGAGGGCAGAAAGGGTGTCTAAAAGTTTACACTGTACCTCTTGAACCTCTCCAGGTCGTATCTATGATATTGACTTTCAAGGGTGCACCAGAAAATTTGGCATAAGCCTGAAACAGAGTTTGCAACAAAACATTTCAGATTGAGTACGTAATGCAAATCTGCAGAGCAATTTTACTTCACAGCCCCGTTCCCCAAAGGCAGAAGGCGCCTGACACAGAGGCCGCGTCCCACCCCCTCTGCTCTCAAGTCGGGAATGCGCGCTCCGGCTACCCGGCTTTCGGGAACCTTGTTCCCCAAAAGCTCCTGGGGATGCGGGGCGCGGCGGGTGCGCCCCCTGCTTCGGGCTTTCGCTCCACCGCCCAGCTTTGCAAGGCTGAGAAAACTCAGAGCCAAAGGGAGAAGCCTTGACGCTCTTGCCCACCTATGCCGGGTCACAGGCCAGGTTGTGACTCCTCGACGGGAGGGAATCCAGAGCGGTGCGGCGAGCAGCGCCCGGGCCCGCCTCCGCCCTGCAGAGCCGTGGGAAACTGGAGCAAGCCAGCCTCGCGCCTCTGGCCCCGCCCCCTCTTCCCGCGCCCCGGCCCGCGAGGCGGCCTCACCATCACCACCAGGGACTCGCTGTGTACCGACGGAAGCCCCCAGCCGCCTCCCCAGCAACTGAGCTCCAAGGGGGCCGCCATCTTGCTAGGGCTGACCTTTACTATCCCGGAAGTACTTTGCCGCCCAATTTCCTGCACGTGAACCGCGGGGGCGGGGTGAGGGGGGTGAAGGGCAACCTTGGGCTCCGGAGAGGTGCGGAAGGGGCTGCGGGAGGTGTTAAAGGCACATTGAGGAGCAGCTGGGAATAGGGGTAGGGGTCCTGGGCATGAAGTCAGGCAGGATCACCAATCGTTCTTCACGTATTTATTGGATACCCCCTGTGTTCTGAACATTAATATGAACATTAATTGAACATTAATATGCTAGACCTAAATGAATCCGTAAAATAAAAATGACAGTTTATTTACAAGATTGTTGTGTTTAAATGATGACCTAGAGGGGAAGAACTTGGCACACAGTAGGCACCCAATAATTGTTCACCCCCTTCTCGCATATACGTGGCCTCTGCCTGCCTTTCCAGTCTCGGTATCAGTTGTCACCCTCTTGTGCACTTGCTCTACCCTCCTTAAAAGTTACCCTGTTCCTGAAATTTGTCAGGTGAATTCTGCCTGCCTTCAGTGCTATTTCTTCAGTCTGAAACACCTTTCTTCCCTGTCCAAATGCTCCCTCGAAAATGAGCGTAACTTCCGCCTTACCTGGGACGTTTTACAGTTAAGAGCTGCTTCTAGGTTCCTGCAGCCCCTCCAATTGTAGCTTCTTTCCCTACTTACAGACGTTTTGTCTTTCACTGTACTAGAAAACAGAGGAGGGCTAGCTTCATAGGTGAGACCTGTGCTGCCACACAATGCCCTGTGCTTTGAAGGGCACCTTACCTAATGTTGTGCTGTCACTATCTTGAGGAATTCTTAATAATTTTTGAACAAAGTGCCCTGTATTTTTATTCTGATTGTGCCCTGCAAATTATGTAGCCAGTCATGTCTGTGGGCCTAATGGGTATGGACTAAATTTCTTGAATATTAAATCTGACAATTCCTCAGAAAAACCCTTAAAGAGTAAAGACAGGCTTCAGAAATGCTGTGATCTGGGCACACTTACTGGGCCCCAGGGTTAGGACATAGGTACTGGGTCTTTTTTCTAGGATGCACAGGAATCTTTCTGGGTTACCCTCCCAGCTATGCCTCTGAGTTCTTTCCCTTCCTCTGTCCCACTGAGATAGTTGGGTCCCCTTAAACAACTGAAAAATTCAAAAGAAACCTCTGCAAATTTTCATACTGTTCAACAAATATTTGCTAGGCACTCCCTTATCATTTACATAGCCATCTAAATTACAGTGCCAATCTGCTAAAGTCATTTTTTCATGTTTCAAAAACAAGAGTTCTCAGAAATGGAAAGGAAAAGATATATCAAAGATGAGAATTCATAAATAATACTTTATATTTTGGAAAGGCTTAACATATATATCATTAAAACTAAGTATCAAGACATTTATTGAGCAACTCCTGTGTCTAAGACACTAAGTCTCTGGGAGATTTACAGAGATTTACAAGATATGAATTCTATCCTCAGGAATTTATAGACTGCAGAGGAGACATACAGACTGCTAGGTGTAACAGGAACAGGTCAGATTGTCATGTGTATGGTTACAGATATAAATGAAATCCTACAAAAAAAAAAAAGGGACAGTTCATCCTCTGTGGGATCAGTGGAGGCTGTCTGTTCGGTCTTCAGTATGAAGAAGGTAATTCAACTTTCAGATTCAAGTAATGAGACCTCTCTGTTTTGAGGATTAAAATTCCAAGCCACAAGGGCTGGCCAGTTAGCTCAGTTGGTTAGAGCACAAACATTGAGGTCAAAGGTTCAGGTCCCCTTACTGGCCAGCTACCCTCCCCTGAAAAATATTCCAAGTCATAAAGCTCAGAGTACATATACTACAATCAGGCATTTAAAATACACAGAGAATGTGGGTTCCCTGAGTCTAGTCTGTAGCAGAGGAGTGGGGGTGGTGGTGATGTGGATGAACAGTCTTTGTGGACACATAATTATTCAGTTTGGCCTTCTTCCTTACTGTTGCAGTTGCATATGATAATTTCATTTGCATTAAAGAGAAATTAAATCTCTTCCCTTAGTGTAGAATTGAGACAGAGAATAGTATGTGATTGCATCTGATGACAGAACCCTTACACACAGGCTTATGTGTGCCTAGTTAATAGCAATCTTTTATTGCTGCAGTTCTTCTTGAGAGTTTGTATCTGTTAGATTGAATTTAAAAACCATAGCATAGCTGGTTGCATAACCAGGATGAATACTGTTCCAGAGAATCACACAGAAAACTGAAACCTTCAGAAATTATGCCTGGTATGGGGCATGGGTAGTTGGCGCCCGTGACTTTTCCTGGCTGCTAAAGACTATTGTTCAGAGTTCATTGAAATCATAATTTCAGATTCCTACTGGGAAGAATACTATCTGCAAAACATTCATGTCTGTGTGGGATGGCCTGAATCACAGCTTTATAATGAGTATTCCAGAAAGTGTTTTCCCTGAAAAAGAAATCTTATTTTTCAACAGATGAACATTTAAAATGGCTTCATCTAGTGAAGGTCATGTGAGCTCAGAGGACCCGACCATGGCATCCATTACAGTCCCTTGTGTGTTTCTTGACAGCCATGGTACAGGTTCTATTAGGATCTTTTTGTCTGGGTGGTTAAGAATCTGTGAAATAGTTCTGTCAAAAAAGATGAAAAATTTGTGACAAGTGATCGTGCCATGTGGGTCCTTGTGGGAATGTTAAGCTGGAAAGCCTTGAATGTCCCTTTTAATTCTAAGATTCTATAATTCAGATCCATGTTCAGATATAGAATCCTTAGGGAGGAAATAAACACTGAATAGAAGTTAAGAAAGCTGGGTTCTTGACCTGGCCTCTCATTAGACATATGCCCTTGAGCCAATCATTTTACCTTATTCCTCAGCTCATTCACTTATAAAATGAAGGTTCTTTTAGCTCTAAGGTGCTATCATTCCATGTGTAATGAGCATTTGATAATCGTTGACAGTAATGGAACAATTTCTTCATGCCAGAAATTGTTTTAAGTGTCTGTTATAACTCATTTGATCTTGATAATGACTCCATGAGGCAAGTACTGTTATTTTCCCCTATTTTCAATGAGGGGACACTAAGGCAAAAAGATGTTAGTTAGCTTTCCCAAGGTCACATAGCCAATAGGTAGTAGTGCCAGGCTTTGAACCCAGTCAGTCTAGCTAAAGAGCTCATATTCTTAACCACTGTGTCATAATGCCTCAGGTAGCCTTCTAATTAGTCCATTAACAAGCCTAGTTTCACCATAAAATCCAGCAATCCCACTACTGGGTATATATTCAAAGGAAAGGAAATCAACATGTTGAAGGGACACGTGCACTGCTATGTTTATCATGGCTCTATTCACAATAGCCAGGATATAAAACCAACCTAAATGTCCATCAACAGATGATTGGCTAAAGGAAATATGGTACATATACACAATGGAATACTACTCAGCCATAAAAAGAGTGAAATTCTGCCATTTGCACCAACATGGATGAGCTTGGAGAATCATGTTAAGTGAAATAAACCAGGCACAGAGGGAGAAATACCACATTCTCACTCATATGTAGAAGCTAAAAAAGTTACTCTTATAGAAGTAGAGAGTAGAGGGCCGGCCCGGTGGCGCACTGGAGAGTGCGTCGCTTGGGAGAGCGGCGGCGCTCCAGCTGAGGGTTCGGATCCCATGTGGGGACCGGTTCCCGCTCACTGGCTGAGCGTGGTGCGGGCGCGACACCGAGGGTTGCGATCCCGTTGCCGGTCCCCGGTACGGGCGCGACACTGAGGGTTGCGATCCCGTTACCGGTCAGTAAAAAAGACAAAAAGGAGAAGTAGAGAGTAGAACAGTGGTTACTAGAGACTGGTATGGGAAAGGTGGGGGGAGGAGAGAGGGTGCTCAATGGACACAAAATTGTGGAGAGCTAGGAAGAATAAGATCTAGCATTCTATAGCAATATAGTAAGACTACAGTCAACAACAGTTTACTGTATAACTTCAAGTAGCTAGTTGAGAGAATTTTGAATGTTCCCAAAACAAAAAGGTGACAAATGTTTGAGGTCATGGATATGCCAATCCACCCTGATGTAATTATTGCACACTGTATATATGTACCCAAATATCACATTGTACTCCATAAATATATGCAATTATCATGGGTCAATTAAGAAAAAAAATAAAAAGAAAAAAGTCTAGTTTCACTCAAAATGGAGGTATAAAATAATGGAAGTATCGATGCCAAGATATTAACTACCATTATTTATTTAAACACTTTTTAACGTGCCTTTAAACAAATTCATTAAGCAACTTCTATATGCTTAGCACACTGTGAGGCTGTCAGGGAATAAAAAATTTATGTTCATGCTTTTAGAAGCATAGTTGATGAAACAAGACCTACATATTTGAGATAACTAGAGGTTACTAGGGAGTACCATTTTGTCAAGAAGACCACAAGTCTAGTATGGTTTTAGATGAAGGCCTTAATGTACCGCAATGCTTGTCAAAGGCCTAATGAAAGAAGTAAAATGCTAGCTGACTTGGAAGGATGAGAATATTGTATTTAGATTTGCACAGAGGAAAGCATTCCACGTGTGCTATGGTACATGAGAGAAGGCATGGAAATGGGAATGACTATGGGAATTACTCTCTGATGATGAGTAAACAAATGCTGGATTTGATAATAAGCTGAAATAGTGTTGATTGACTTACTTGAGAACCAAAATTGGAAGGCATGGGAATATGTAGTTTTGAGGAAATAAAGAAGAGTAGGAGTCTAAATATAATATTAATGGATTCACATAGTCAAGAATGGGAGGTAGAATGCTATTGTTTCATGGACACCATATGAGGAGGGATTTTATAAATCCATAAACTGTACCAAATGAAGCAAAAATGGGGTATTCAATAAAGTGAGGAAATGTCACTGAGTATCATTAGGAGTATCACCTGGCACCCTTGCAATGAGTATTTTTCATAGAGAATGTTATTAGAAATTGAATTGCAAGGGAT